GGATGGGAAATTTAATTCTCCATCGAACAGCATTGGTTTCATTCCTTAATGTTAATTAGGAGGGGAGATACGATTTTTGAATTAGCGGGCGAGTTGTCGGGAGTCACTGCGCCGCGAAACCATTGAGTTTTTCATAGCGCCGCGACTTACGTCGCAATATTAATTTTCTTATTACAGAGATTAAGGAATGAAACGGAGGTTGTTGGGTGGGCAATTTAATTCTCCATCGAACAGCATTGATTTCATTCCTTATTGTTAATTAGGAGGGGAGAGACGATTTTTTAATTAGCCGGCGAATTATTGGGGAGTCACTCTGCGCCGAGAAAACATTGGGTTTCTTATAGCGTCGTGACTTCCGTCGCAATATTAATTTTTTTATTGCAGAGATTAAGGGATGAAACGGGGGTTGATGGATAGGGAATTTAATTCTCCATTCAACAGTCTTTGTTTCATCCCTTAATAATAATTAGTCGGCGAATAAATCAACTGAAAAACATATAGTAAACATTGAGTACAAGGCGGACAAAAATACCCCTCTGAACCTGTCCCTGTCACAGCGGGACTGCTGTCACGCCGCCTTTCCCGTGGGGTACCAACTAACATTTTTGGAGTCAGTCAAATCTCCCGATCCGGGCCTCTACTCAGGTCTATCCTCTTTGGTGCGTCCCATCATTCACACCGAGAACTCCAGGGAAGCCATACTGCTAAAAATTTCAAGAAGAAAAACTTCCAAATTAGTAGTACCATCCCACGAGCTTCATTCGCGCTTCATTTGTATGAAGCAGAGTGAATTTTCAACCCACTTCATTCTCATTATTGGCGTGTTACGCGTGCACAGACTCTATGTATAATGAAATTCTTTGTTTTTATGCTTACCCGTTCGAATTTCGCTGCGGCTTCCTCTTTGTCTTCCGGTAATTTGATCACATCAGATGCAATACTTATCAAAAAATCCATGACTCGATCATTGTATCGAAGTACTGTGGCAGGACATACTCCGAACCTCCCCGCAACATCACGCAAAGTAGTTTTATTTCCGGCAAACCTGAAATTATTCAAACATTGATTAATTCAATTACTTCAGTGATATTTCATGAGACTTACCATAGAAACATCAGAACAGCTTTTTCTGCTGTCACGTCAGATGTTCCTTCCAGGTCAAATGAGGGGAAAAATGGTGATTCGTCGAACTTGGAGATAATCTGATACACCACATGACGATCTAAACGCAAATTTTCCTTGAATTCATCGTTTGAGTAGCTGTTGATAATCTTCACATAATTTTCTACTTTCTTTCGATTTTGTCTGTCGAATAGGCAACTCAAAATCATGGTACAATCTTGTTGGATTGCTTCTTTTTCACTTTCACTCGAGTCACAGCTGTCACTCTCATTTAATAATAATTCCCTTACAATCAGCTCCATTTCGCGTTCTTCCCTTTTTAATCGTCAGTAATTGGTGCTGACAAATAGATCCTCAAGGCTACTTACTATTCAGTTGCACGAACACGAGATACGTACGAACATGAAAATATACAGAGCAATGCAGAGAAAAGGAAACAAATGATGAACAGCTCGTTCTATTTGAAAACAAAAATTCTTATTGCTCGAGAACTTCATGAAATGGGCCGAGGAAAAATTATTAACTTGTCCCTCGAAGCCCCAGAAGATGATCGAACCCTCTTGAACACGCTCTGACCTCGTTCACACTGAAAACTCGAAATTATCAACAGCACTGGAGGAACTAAAGCTGAGGAATCTGTTGAATCTTCAGAAGTGTTTTTAGATGTCAAACTTCTTTGAGGGGTTGAGGGAGTGCCTATCAACCACTCCAGGGGAGGAAATTCCTGGGTGGTTGTCTCCTAGAGTGAAAATATTTTTTTCTTTGCAAAAAAAAAAAACAAAATTTGAGTTTCTCAGACCAAAACACTAATATTCTAAGTATTGTGCCAGTTTCAATTTCGTTTAAACTTCTGAAGAAGCCGTTGAACCTCTCGAGATCTAAAATAAACATCGCAACAACTGATAAAGCCTAATCTTCAGCTGCAGGAGCTTCAGGAAATCCTGCAGAGTCTTCTCCAGCCATGGAAGCACTTCCAGTACCTCAATCTCCAAGAAAATCTCCCCGATATAAATGTCCTCAATACTAGTATTTCATCACTGGAGAAGTCTCGTGTGTCCCAGAGCCCAACTCAAACAGATACAACAGAAAAATACTTGAATGTTTCCAAACAAGACAAGACTCCAACTTCTTCTCCAGCATCAGCCAGTTTATAAGAACTGGAAACTGATGCGACTTCCAACAACAGGAGAGATAAAGTTAAGACGAAGAAATAGAGACATTTAAAAAAGAGGATGGAGATCTTTCCAATGACCTTACGGTGAGGATTAAGGAGTATGAGAGCACCATCAGGTCCCCCAAAGATGAATTATAATAATTATTAAATCCCTGCCAAGGATCTGGCTGAGTTAATGCACTCAATTTAGGTGCTCCATTTTTAAATTATGACGTGAATGTGTTCATCTCGATATTCATTTCTTTTTATTGATTTACGGCATAATGTTTGTCATCCATTTTGTCCTCGTATTTCGCTCTGAAGGTGAAACTTCTTGTAATTTCTATCAAGCAGCAAACGAAAATCAAGTTTGTTGAACACCAGCATGGAGAAAGAGGAAGGAGTGAAGATCGAAGAAGATCAGATGAGAATCGAAGAGGAAAATGCAGAAGTTCTAGAGATGGAAGGGACCACATCTGATAGTAGTCTCAGCACATTGGACGACTCAATCTCTTCGTCACTCGCGGACACATCTTCCAATAATTTTGATTCTGCGTCAATCCAGGAGCAGGGATCTAGCGAAAGTGAGGAAGCTTCTCCAAATACCGGGGAATCCTCAAGTGATTCAGATGAGCCGCCAACCAAACTCACTAAGTGGGGATAAAATGACTGGAAAATTTTCAAAAAATATCGAATATTGAAAAAATCATGATTTCATTCATGTGCAGAACGTATCAAGGTGATCAGCACATCACACGATCACAACGCAGAGGGTCAGTCATGCTCCAACGAAAATACGGGAGGAGTAAATCAAGAGATTATTGCTGTTTTGAAGAAAAAACTTGAATTGCATATTGAAATTATTTCAATGCTGGAAGAGCAAATGACGACGCTGATAATGACACCACCAGAGTACGTGAAACACTCAATGGTGGATCAACTGCAATCCCTATCAACTCGCATCGGAGAAGAGACACAACTACATAAGCAGGAACTTGCCCTTCTCAATTATCATCAAAGATCAATTCGTTGATGAATTAATTGTTTAATTGAGTCGTCCTTTGAGAACAGGAAATCACTCATTGCTAACATCTTCAATGTTCAACAGTTTTGTTGATTTTGCATTCATCTAGTGAACAAAGAATTAGAGAGGAGAATATTTTCAGACCTTTTTGTAACTTATGAAATTCTCAGGAAAAAAATGTCTCGACATTTTCTCCTCAAGTCACTTCCTATCCAGATAATTCCATGATTGTTTCGTTGAATAGACTATTTTTTTCAATTTTGTCTCACTTCTTACTTACTCATCTTCTCAAGATTATCTCCTCAAAATACCCCAAAAATAATTGATCCATAATACTCCCAAACTTTGAAAATTAATCCATTTGATATATTAATTCATTCGTTCATTCTTTAATTGATTCAAATCACGATGTTTTTAGTTAAATAAACAATTTTCAGATTTTAAACTATTGTTTGTTAATATATTGAATAACCTGATATTTCAGCAGACAAATTTCGTAATTATTTTTATTTTTATTAGACAAAAATCTTCATAATTTTTCTAATTGAACAGCTGATGATAAAGGGAAAATGAAAATTCTAAGAGTTGGAAAATTATAACAATGAATTCGACAATTTTTGTGGATTTTTTAATTTCTGAACTTCAAATTGAGAAATTATTTTTTGATCTTTCAATTGAATTTTTAATTATCGTTGGATTCTCTAAGCTTCTTGAGACGTGCAAAAATTCTATCTTCTTTCTCAAGTGCTTCCTCCCTTCTCTTGGCCTCGCGAGTTTCGCGCCTTTCTTCTCTTTCTTTATTCAATTCACGCAGTACGTTCATAATTTTCTCTACTCCTGTTTGTCTCTGGCTCGACTTCTCAACATTCTGCTTCCTCTTCAATTTCTTTTCCTTTTCACGTTTCATGAGTGTATTCCTCTTTGTTTTCATTTGTCCTGCAGTGCGATCAGTGTTGAACTCTCCGTTGAATAAGTCAGCGATCACTTCAAACATTTCTTTCTTTGTGCGCATACGATTTCGGGGTCCAACGTCTGGCTGCAGCTCAGCCACTTGTGATTTTAAAAATTCTTCTTGTTCTTCCGTCCAGTTTGCTGCATAACATTTTTTTTTTAGTCAGTAGAGTATTCAATCAGTGAGGAAATGGTACGATTTAACCGAATCAACTCTCATTTCAAAGCTTGGAAAAATATCTTCAAAATCAATTGAGTAATTGATCATTGAAAACGATCAGTACTTCTCCCCCTTCCTTAAACCCTGTATATCAATCAATAATAGTCAATAAATAAATAAATTGTCATCTGCAATGACCACACCACCATCAGGATAAAATGATTCTTTAAATCAATATTAATCAATAATAATCGATAAACCATTGAAATGTCTGCAATGATCACACAAACAAGTGATATTTGACATAATTGAAACAATCAAAAAAGTTGAACAAAAATGAGAAACATGTTTAATATTAACGGTCGTGGAGTCATTTGAGACTCCCAACTCTCTTGGAAGACTGGAGCTCGAGAGGAGGAATAAATGGAGAGACGAGTATGTTATCGTACCACGCTTCGCGCCTGACTGGCCTCGATTGGTCTTGTGATGGGGTACCTCGAGATCACTGTCATCAGAATCGTCATCATCTTCCGACCAAATATCTGTCGAAATTCCTTCTTCAGGGACTTCTTTTCCTTTCTTTTCAGCTTCATCACGTGAGGACGACGATGACTCCCCAGTAGATAGATAATAGATTATTTCTGGTTTCCTATAAAATATTTTAGTGGTATTGAATTGATAATATAAAATATTACATAATTTCTATAATATAATAATATATGAGTATCGATGTTTTAAACCCCCTTCATCACTCCCTGCATGAAATAAAGTAAATAATGAAAACATTTGTTGCCTTCAATAACTTACCCATTAATCATCCTTTTGATTGAGAAAATTGGCTCATTCTTCATAGTAACGCTGAAGTGGCCTTTCTTATCCAGACCCAGGATGAATTCCACCATTTCTTTGTCATCTGTAGAAGTTGGAATTGACGAACCTCCAATTTTTTTTTCATCCGCTTCACTTTTGGCGACGAAAGTAAATAATTTTGAATGATTATTCAATATAAAAGCTGCTTTCTTTTGCTGTTTATCCATAGTTTTGGAGCACTCCTCTCTGACATATCCACAATTAAAAGTACAACTGTCAATATTGGTCCCAACTGTGAATTGTAAGTTATATAGAAACAATTCGCGATCACGAAAAAAAACGACGAGAGTTCCAAGTGGCCGAATTATAAACACTCAACCTATAGAACGCGGTTACGGTGCGAGTGAGACACAAAAAATCAAATTGATTAAACTCATTTTACCACGCATTTACTCATTTACCATTTTACAATTCAAATTCCATATTCCGCTACCATAGCACATTCTCATGTCGTGGGTTGCATCAAGGCGCATTCTCATGGACAAGTCTCCGCCTTTATTTTTTTCCCGCGCTGGTAAATTAAATTTGAATAAAACAAGTTACACACTCATTAGTTTTTGGCGAATATCTTGGAGTTGACATACATGAATGACTTCAGAACATTGCGAGATCTGTCAACATGTGTAAGTATAATTTTTATCTATAACTTTCATCATTTTATTATCGCCTTGTTCACAATTTTTTCTATTCAGGGACAACCGACCAAGATGACTTCTTGCTAATCCTCAGGACCGGATTCTATGAACACCTTTTTCATCCAGTCTGCTGGGAGGATGTATGCAAGCAGAACGACGAGGCCTGGGTGTGAGTAACTAAGAATAATTAATAATATTAATAACTAGGGGTGCGGCTGTACTACGTTATATTTTAGGTCGCTCGCAACAAAAACTTTCCAGCTTTCCAGGTCGTTCACAACAAAAACTTTCCAGCTTTGATCTCCCATCAAAAAAAAAAAAAAAAGGGGTGCGGCTGTTCTACGCAATATTGTTGGTCGCTCGCCGGCTCGCTCCCGATTTCGAGTGTACGTTGAACTGGGAGCGAACCATCGAGGTTCACAACAAAAACTTCCCGGTTTTCATTCTCAAATATGAAAAAAAAATGTAATTTTGGTTTTCTATGTTTTTTTGAAAAAACTGAAAAACTACTGGACCGATTCCTTCCAAAATCTAATCAGATCTAAGTTACGTGGAGACGAATCGATTGAAAAAAAAAAGTCAAATCGGACTATAGGGTCGCGGGAAATCGTTAACGAAAATTTCGAGCACATACATACCTAGTAACACACACACACACACACACAGAGACAGACATTTTGCTTAAAACCATCGAGAAACATGAGAAAGACCTTGAAACGTGAAGATATGATGCAATTTCGATTTTCGATTTTCGGGGTCATTACAACAACTTCCCTAGATCTCCGATCGAGTAGTTAAAAAAAAAAGCGATCTTAATTTTTCGATGTTTTTTCGAAATAACTCGAAAACCATTGGACCAATATCAGCCAAAATCTAATCCGGTCTAAGTTCCACGGAGACGTATCGATTAAAAAAAAAAATTATTGAGCAACACGGGAAACACCTTGAAACGTGAAGATATGATGAGAAACCGATTTTCGATTTTGGGGGTGATTACAATACTCTCCATAATAATTTTCGAATGAATTGTTGTTTCATGTTTAGGAGAATATCAGCAGATGTAGCGTGGAGAACCAAAGGGAAAATTTTTGTGATGGGGCTCACCACTGGACCTCGTTTGGCGGCAAGGTTCAAGCAGCTCGTGGATGAGTAGAATATAAAATTCAATGTGAGTACACTTTACGCAAGCCAGCGATAATTTTCGTATCTCTTTTCGATTCCGAGATCTTCGAAAACTAGACTGCGTGCTGAATCGACTTGTTACTTTTCACCACTTCGCTACTGAATTAAAGAAATTGCAGGTTAATTGATAAAAGTCTGGTTTTTTTAGGAGATCATATCATCCATTTCCAGAGGGAAAATGATATGTCCGATGAGGGGACATACATCCTAGATGAGGACCCTCAGTACATATCATGCCATTGTAAAAAAACGAGAATCATCCGGGGGATACATCGACTCATTTGGATTTTTCAAAAAACCACACTCCGATCACGATATACAAACGATTCTCAATTAAAAATTATTGTTTCACAAATATTTATTGATTAATTAATTATAACATTGAACAATTTTGACAAATTAGATAATATCTCTATAAATAAAAATAAAATATAATAAAATCATTGTGCAGCACCAAGTACAAGATTTGGAAATGATTTTAAAACTTCACGATTTACTTCCTCGAGTGATTTTTTCCAATTATTTGTAAATGATTGTACGAGATCTAGGGTACGTGGCCCTTGACGTTTTAAATCATCAGTCAGTCCTTTTTCAATGCGAGCTTCTGATTCTTTGACTAATTGAATTATTCCACCAAAATGAGGGGATAAAACTTCTTCAACGTATTCTGATGAACGAGAGTTTAATTGTTCACGAAAACTTTCTACTTCTTTTGAATTATCTCTTGTTCTTTCCGAAAAATAACAATAAATAATTACTTTTATTAAATAAACAAAAGAATTTTATAATTAATTGAAAAAAAAAATCCCTGCAGTTTTTTCGAAATATCTCAGAATCTTAGAGAGATACCGAAATTTTTATAAGGACCTTTTTTGTAGATCTCATTTTTCTCTACAAAAAGGGTCCTTTTGAAAAATTTTCTATCTCTCTTTGATCCAGAGATCTTTAGAAAAGAGTGAACGTCAAGTTGAGATGATTTGTTTTTTTTTTAATAATGAATTTTTTTTATTGTCAATTTAATTGTCATTATGCTTTTAAAAATAGAAGGACTGATTTACCATTAGTACACCGAGCACCAGATCGTAATTATTAATGAGAAAAACCAATTGTTGGGTTCTATTTGGAAAAATGGCAGCCATACGAAATAAATAATACTGAACAGCTTCTCTGAGTTCAGCTAGTAATTGCGTTGCTCCTTCGCATGGAAATCCTTCACCAACGCCGACCATTGCTGCTGAAAATTCTGCATATCTTCTTGTAATCTGAAAAAAAAACATAATTCCAGTAAAAAGTGGATAATTGAAATTTTTCTTTGTTGATAATTGTGCATTTATCTCGTAAACAATTAATTTTAGAAGAAAATGTCAAATGACCTTCTTTGTAGGCAATTAAATTCTCTTCAAAAAAGGTTTGTTTGAAATTCAGCTATTCAAACTAGTCAAACGGTCACCGGGCTCAACGAAATTCTCGAGAAACTTCGGGACCCGTCGGGATCACGGTCAGCTACGAAGAAAATCGCCGAAAAAGAAGTAGTATCGTTCTAGCCACCGAGAGAGTCACTCTAATCGCAAATTGTATTGCCATCACCGCTCGATCGAGTACATCACCGGAGTACATCGACGCGATATATTTAAGTCTAGCGCTTTGTATAGCGTCTCTATTTAATTCAATTCAATTATCAATTAATTCCGAGTTAATTATCAATTATTTGAGTCAATTATCAAGTTCAATATCGAGAGAATCTCAAGTGCAGTGCATTTTTCAAACAATCATTTTTATTGACTTGTCGAGCAACTCAACAGTGTAACATTATTAATTTATCAAGACGCGTGGGTTATTCCACAATAAAGTACATCAACAGTGTGGTTTTATAATTCCGCGTGTTTTAATTTTCCACCTCCTTCCACAATTCCACTTTTTCCCAACCGGCATCTCAAGTTAGCTTCAATCTCAAATACTATGTACTACAAAAGTTTAACACTGACGATAATTTTCATATTACAGATAGAATTTTCACTTACAGTACAACTTCATTTATCCGACCTTCGATCAACCGAGCTTCCGCGTTATCCGAGGCAACGGGCTTGTTCGGATAAAATGGATGGAGCCACGTAAACTTGTTACAACGCGTTTTGTATAACACAACTCTACTCTGTACAACTCTATTAAAAATATTTTAAACAATAGTCTTTCGTTTGACTATCCGTCGACATAACACGCTATTTCGGACACGCAGAAACATAAACTGTTTGTTTGAAATTCAGCTATTCAAACTAGTCAAACGGTCACCGGGCTCAACGAAATTCTCGAGAAACTTCGGGACCCGTCGGGATCACGGTCAGCTACGAAGAAAATCGCCGAAAAAGAAGTAGTATCGTTCTAGCCACCGAGAGAGTCACTCTAATCGCAATATTGTATTGCCATAACCGCTCTATCGAGTACATCACCGGAGTACATCGACGCGATATATTTAAGTCTAGCGCTTCGTACAGCGTCTCTATTTAACTCAATTCAATTATCAATTCATTCCGAGTTAATTATCAATTATTTGAGTCAATTATCAAGTTCAATATCGAGAGAACCTCAAGTGCAGTGCATTTTTCAAATAATCATTTTTATTGACTTGTCGAGCAACTCAACAGTGTAATAATATTAATTTATCAAGACGCGTGGGTTATTCCACAATAAAGTACATCAACAGTGTGGTTTTATAATTCCGCGTGTTTTAATTTTCCACCTCCTTCCACAATTCCACTTTTTCCCAACCGGCATCTCAAGTTAGCTTCAATCTCAAATACTATGTACTACAAAAGTTTAACACTGACGATAATTTTCATATTACAGATAGAATTTTCACTTACAGTACAACTTCATTTATCCGACCTTCGATCAACCGAGCTTCCGCGTTATCCGAGGCAACGGGCTTGTTCGGATAAAATGGATGGAGCCACGTAAACTTGTTACAACGCGTTTTGTATAACACAACTCTACTCTGTACAACTCTATTAAAAATATTTTAAACAATAGTCTTTCGTTTGACTATCCGTCGACATAACACGCTATTTCGGACACGCAGAAACATAAACTGTTTGTTTGAAATTCAGCTATTCAAACTAGTCAAACGGTCACCGGGCTCAACGAAATTCTCGAGAAACTTCGGGACCCGTCGGGATCACGGTCAGCTACGAAGAAAATCGCCGAAAAAGAAGTAGTAT